ACAGAGCGAGATTCTGTCTAAAAAAATTAAAACAGGCCAGGCATGGTGGTTCATGCCTGTAATCCCAGCACTTTGGGAGGCCGAGGCGGGAGGATCACGAGGTCAGGAGTTCAAGACCAGCCTGACCAAAATAGTGAAACCCCATCTCTACTAAAAATACAAAAATTAGCCGGGCATGGTGGTGTGTGCCTGTAGTCCCAGCTACTTGGAAGACTGAGGCAGGAGAATCACTTGAACCCAGGAGGTGGAGGTTGCAGTGAGCCGCGATCTTGCCACTGCACTCCAACTTGGGCAACAGAGTGAGACTTTGTCTCAAAAAAAAAAAAACCTTATGTAAAATTTTTACCTTGCAGGCCTCTTTGTGGCCTTTAGTGCTATACCTAGTCAGGTCAATTGTCTTCTGGGACACTATCTCATTGTTTTCCATCGTTTCTTTTCTCCACATCCTTTGAGGTCAACATACAGAAATCAACTGTATTTCTATACCTTTGCAGTGGAAAATCTGAAAATGAAATAAGAATTGCATTTCTGAATAGTATTAAAAAAATCCATAGAAATAAATTTAACAAAAGAATTGCAAAATTTGTGTTGTGAAAACTACAAAACATTGAAAGAAATTAAAGAAGACCTAAAGAAATGGAAAAATATCCTATATTCATGGATTGGAAGACAGAATTTTGTTAACATGGCTATGCTCCCCAAATTGGTCTACACACAGTTTCTATTAAACACAGTCTCTATTAAGATTCCTGCTGGCTTGGTGCAGAATCCACAAGCATATTCCACAATACATATGGAAATGCAAGAGACATAGAAAAGCAAAAATGGACTTGAAAAAGAATAAAGCTGAAGGACTCATACTTCCCAGTTTCAAAACTCACCAAAAAGCTGGAGTAATTAGGGCAGTGTGCTACTGGCAAAAAGACATGAAGAGAAACATCTTTGTTAACTACCTCAAGAGGTCAGCTTCACAATTTAGCCCTGGACTACTAGCTTCTCAGATAATTGGCCTTAAGGAGTTTCCCCTCTTCATTATAACTTTTCTTTCAATTGGGGGAAAGAAAACTACATGTAAATAATTCAAAATAATACAGAACAGTGTGAAGCAGAGTCAGGATTCCCATCTCTCCATCAAGTGTATTTCTTTCTAGTGTATGTCTGATTTCTAACTGACTTTAAAAATCATTTTGTGGGGCCAGGCATGATGGCTCACACTTGTAATCCCAGCACTTAGGGAGGGCTGTAGGTAGGAGGATTGCTTGAGCCCAGGAGTTTGAGATCAGCATGGGAAACATAGCAAGACCCTATCTCTACACACACACACACAAATTAGGCATGTGGCTCTTGGCCTGCTGTCCCAGGTATTTGGGAGGCTGAGGTGGGAGGATTGTTTGAGCCCAGGAGGTCAAGGCTGCAGTGACCTGTGATCGCACCAGTGCACTCCAGCCTGAGAGAAGAGTGAGACCCTGTCTCAAAGTAATAATAATTTTGTGTGATTTTTTTTTTTTTGAATCAGAGTCTCGCTCTGTTGCCCAGGCTGGAGTGCAGTGGTGGGATCTTGGCTCACTGTGTAGCTGTGATTACAAGTGCTCACCACCACACCCGGCTACATTTTATATTTTTAGTGGAGACAGGGTTTTGCCATGTTGGCCGGGCTGACCTCTAACTCCTGACCTCAGGTGATCGGCCGCCTCGGCCTCCCAAAATGCTGAGGTTACAGGTGTGACCCACCACTCCTGGTTCACAAACTCCATTTTGCCTTTGGCAGAGGACATGTTTTTTGTTTTTTTTTTTTTTTTTGAGACGGAGTCTTGCTCTATCGCCCAGGCTGGAGTGCAGTGGCCGGATCTCAGCTCACTGCAAGCTCTGCCTCCTGGGTTCACGCCATTCTCCTGCCTCAGCCTCCCGAGTAGCTGGGACTACAGGCGCCCGCCACCTCGCCCGGCTAGTTTTTTGTATTTTTTAGTAGAGACGGGGTTTCACCGTGTTAGGCAGGATGGTCTCCATCTCCTGACGTTGCGATCCACCCGTCTCGGCCTCCCAAAGTGCTGGGATTACAGGCTTGAGCCACCGCGCCCGGCCAAGGACATGTTTTCTTTCTTCATGCCCTCTGGGTATGAAAGGGGTCCCCAAGCTTTTCCTGGCTACCACTTGCTCTGACCTTACACATGTTGGGTTTTGCTCTTAAAGAGGAGAGCAGGAAGAAAGGTTGGTTTCAGAAACCAAGAGGGTTGGCAGTAGATGTGCAGATTTTGTCACGGAGTCCACAGAGCTCAGCTTTTGAGCCTCTGAGAAGTTTCATTTCTTGTGCAGAAGGAGTACAACTGAATTCAAGTTTGCCTTTAGAATTGCACTGAATAAAATACTGCACACTAAAGGAAAGCTTATTTTCTGCACGGTTGTTTTTTCAAAGACAGAATATTTGAAGCATGTTTCCTAGAGATTGTGTGGATGAGGGTGCGCTGGCAGAGGCATCACTCAAGCTAGGGGTGGTGTGTAAGAAGCACATGGAGCCACAAGAGGCACCTCCTATAGTCAGCTAAAGGCTTCCCTTTCTGTGCCCAACTTCTAGACTCAAGGGTAGTCGAAGACCAGTCTATGTAGAAAGGCTGAGGCAACTTGGAAAGACCTGACAGCTAGTTACATATATTCTGACATAGTCCCCCCATAATGGCTTTTAGTGACACACGTGCTGATAGAATTCTAAACCTCTAGAATTCCCCTGCTGGTGATGCTGGTGTCTTCTCTTGTGCTTGTTTGTACAGGGTAACCTGATACAGAATGCTGCAAGTGTGCTGAGAGCTAGAAGGCTGTGAAAACTCTTGCTAGGAAGGTTGGGCTTGGCATGACTTGCTCCAGTAGGAATCCTGGGGAGAGATTTTCAGCTTTAATTAAACAGTACATCCAGAGCAAAGGGTGACTCTCAACTCAGGTAGTTCTACAAGTCAGATGTGAATTTACCAAATCTCCCAATTTGTTTGTTTGTTTTGTTTTTTTAGAGAGAGGGTCTTGCTCTGTCACTCTGGTTGGAGTGTAGTGGTGTGATCATAGCTCACTGCAGCCTCACACTCCTGGGTTCAAACAATCCTCCCACCTCAGCCTCCCAGAATACTGGGATTACAGACATGAGCCATTGTACTTGGCCAAATCTCCCAATTTAGAAACGCCTCTGTAAAGGGTTTCAGTCTATGTTTGGTTTTTTTGTTTGTTTGTTCTGTTTTGAAACAGGGTCCCACTCTCTTGCTCAGGCTGGAGTGCAGTGTCACAATCTTGGCTCACTGCAACCTCCACCTCCTGGGCTCAAGTGATCCTCCCACCTCAGCCTCCTGAATAGCTGGGACTACAGGGGCACACCACCATGCCCAGCTAATTTTTCTGGGCGGGGGTGGGTGAGGTGGGGACTTTATTTATACAGACAGGGTTTTGCCATGTTGCTCAGGCTGGTCTTGAACTCCCGAGCACAAGTAATCTACCTGCCTTGGCCTCCCAAAGTGCTGGGATTACAGGCGTGAGACAAAGCACTCAGCCCTGAGCTGTATGGTACTTCAAACTGCCAATATGCCAGCCCCCAACACTCTGATTCCTTTAATTCATCAGACCCCATGTGCAATAAATGACTGAATGTTGAAATTGTTCGTTTGCCCCATCAGTAGATGGCCACTTTTTGTAACTTTATAATTACTTAATTTTATTTTTTTAAAGCTTATTTTGCTGTTTTTCAGTGTATAGTGTTTTACTGAGCTTCTGCAAATGCCATCACAATTTTGTTTTGTTGAAAAAAAAAGCAAAAACTTCAAATGTTAAAGCAATGGAATCAATGAATTTATTGTTACATTAACACGAACTACAAAGCAGCCTTTCGTATGTCTGATACCAAAGACATAACTGAAAAGTCATTTTTCCAAACCTTGAGCTTGCATTCACATACCCATCTAACTCTCACATGTGCTAATTAACGGCAAATGCCATTTCTGGGCTTCACACACATTCTGTCACTTTCCCTTTTCTGAGGTGACTTCCCTTCCTTACCCCACACCTCCCAGAGCTGTCCCCAGGTATGCCCTTGCCTGGACAGCCCTGCAGCCTGCTTCACCCCAACAAAGTATTCATCTTACCAGTCCATGACCTGACTCCTGACGTTACCCTTCGCTGCATCACCCTTCCCTGTGTATTTGGAGGATGAGGCTTGATTGAGGCTCAGGTACTGAGCTCCCTGAAGGTGCCTTGATGCTGGCACATTGAGAACCAGATGCCACCCCGATCATAAGGAAGGCAGACCCAGGACTTCCATATGAACTGGATATGATCATCTGACGTGCCCCCTAATAACTGATGGATCCCGCTGTTACTCCAAAGCTCCAGACCACACCGGCCCAGACACAGGCATTTCCCGTGCCCTGAAGAGCCACTGAACCCAGCACAAAAGAGATCTAGAGCTCTCCAAACCTATGGAATGGCAACCAAAACAATGCCCAGGTTTTGAGTTAAGCCTCATTAGTCTCCCTTCTCCCTCAACAGTGTAGAATTGTGCAGCACAGCACTAAGTGAATGAGAGCAGAAGCCTCAGGACAGAACTGAACCCACCAGCTTGAGCTGACAACACTGCCAGGGGTTCTATCCACCGATGGAATTTTCTGTGATCACTGAGTGAGGAGGCGTGGGTGAGGGATGCAGAGCGCTGCTCGTCATGAGACATCAAGCTATCCAAGTCAGTATCTTTTTTTTTTTTTTTTTTTTTTGAGACGGAGTCTCGCTCTGTCGCCCAGGCTGGAGTGCAGTGGCGCGATCTCGGCTCACTGCAAGCTCCGCCTCCCGGGTTCACGCCATTCTCCTGCCTCAGCCTCCCGAGTAGCTGGGACTACAGGCGCCCACAACCGCGCCCGGCTAATTTTTTGTATTTTTAGTAGAGACGGGGTTTCACCGTGGTCTCATTCTCCTGACCTTGTGATCCGCCCGCCTCGGCCTCCCAAAGTGCTGGGATTACAGGCGTGAGCCACCGCGCCCGGCCCAAGTCAGTATCTTATTAGTAGGGACAGGATGTTATAAAAGGCATAATGATCTCACCTGCCCCAGCTGGAAGCAATGATTCCATTGCCCCAGATTCGGAATTGTGATTTAAACTAGGCCTCTCTTCAGGAATCAGAACCAAATTAGAGTGCCTTATATGTGCAAGGAACTAATGCAGAAAGACATTATGGGTAAGTCAAGGGAGATGCCCCAGCCATTGGGCAGATTCCTCTGACTCCTCCCTGATGGAACTAATTCTTCTTCTTCTGTGCCTGGATCCTAGAGCCAAGATCCTTAAGGTCTGAGTACAAGTTCCGCTTCAGGATGGCACTGCTGCACAGCAGGGCACCTTGCAGGGCCCCGACCAGCCCACAGGTGAAGATATCCTGGCCTAGGAGGCAAGAGCAGAGGCCCCTGAGCGTGACCCAGGCAGGCCCAGGGGAGGGTGGGGCCCTGGTGCTCTTCCCTCCACATGAGGGCCACCCAGAGCTGGCTCCAGTCAGGACCGGGGCCACAGCCTGCCCAAGCAGCCCTGCTCAAGGGATGGGAAGCTGCAGGGGACAGTAGGGCCTGAGGACAGGAAGAGAGGACATTGGGCGACAGGGGCCCAGGGTCTCAGGTCTTGACAACATGGGGCAGTGAGTATACCTGTCAGGTAGAGGTTGGGGATGGGGCTCTGGGCCCTCAAGGAGGCCATCACACGGGGGTGCAGGCGGCCCAGGTCGTGGTCAGCCCCGTAGCAGGCACCTCGGGGAGCAGCCAGATAGAACTGGTTGGTGAGTGGGGATCCTGCAGTCACACTCTCCACCTGAGGGCACAAAGGGTGGGGCGGGCAGGTGAGATCCTGGCTCCCCTCCCTCTTCCACTGTCTCCCATTTGCTGACTGTGGGTATGGGTGCCCTGTCCTTCCCTGGGACTCATGTCGTGGGGCCCAATTCCCCTGTCTTTGCAAGGAAAGGGCAGAAATGGCACCATGAGGTCCGTCACCACCCCAAATATTTTACCCCCTACCTTCCCCTCCAGCTGTGGGAACAGTTTCATGACCACTGACATAGAGGCTTCCACAAAGGAGTTTTTGAAGGTCTCATAGTCACTGCCCCGCTTTCCCTTCAGCTCCGCCTGCCACTCCTCAAACCACTCGTAGGCGCTGGGTATGAGCATGATCATGCTGGACCGGCCTGGGGGTCAGAACTGACATTACTACTGCCTGGCCCCTCCCTCCAGCCCCTCACCCGGGACCCGCAGCCCCACCTGGGAATCGGTCCTCCCAGGTCGGATCCTTGGCTGATGGGAAAGCGATGAACATAAGAGGGATGTGTTCCGCAGCCTTTTCCCTGGGCATGGAGACGTAGCGCTCCATCCTGCGTGTGACAGGAGTGTGGTACGATCTCCAGGCTTTTGTCCTCAAAACCCCAGAACCACTGCAAGGACTGCTCAGCCCTAGGGACTCCCCACAGGGGTGAAGCTGAGCCACAGCCTTGAGGTGACAAACTTCCAGGAGCAAATTAGAAATTGCCCATTTCCTCCCATTCCATATCCTCTGCTCATTCTCTGAGTCAAGCAGGGAGGCACAGGCCACACGCATACACACCACACACAGACACGTGTGTCTTACGCCTGGTCCATGTCCGTGTCATGGTAAACATAGTAGTTGGTGGACGGCAGATGCAGGTCCTCCTTGGTGCCTCGCAGGCAGATGAAAACAGACATCATGCCTAAGCCAGGCCGAACCATCCCCAGCTGCTGCTTCACACCTGCCAAGGGGAGTGGGTGGTGCCTGTATGAACTATGACCAGAGACGGCCACTCTCTGCTCCTAGGAGAGCCTTGGGGTGCCAGCTCTGGCACCTGCCTGAGGCATGCCAGGTCCCTGGCCACTCTGCTTCCTTCATTTAACTAAATATTTTTGAGGCCTTCAGATCATGTTCAGGAGGAAAATTCACAGACAAGGGAAAATTGTAACCAGACGGTGAGAGGTGGGTAGGAGGGACAGGTGACTCTAGCAGGGCTGCCTGGCCAGGACAGTGTCAGTGCCCAGAGGTCCTGGGACAGGGAAGAAGGGAGGTCACAGTCACAAAGTAAGGTAGGAAGTAGCAAAGGCAGAGTCTGCCTGTGCACCATGCCTGACACCCCTGCTCTGCCCCTTGGCCACCTCTGCCTCACCCTTCAGCTCCTGAGAGTCTGAGAGAGGGGAGGCCGTGCAGGCTGCAGGCTCAGCTATGAGGGGCAAAGAAAGGAGAGGCTGGCACTGGTGAAACCACCCTATGCCCTGGAGACAATCACAACTCACGTATCACCCAGTCCCCATGAGGAAGGCCAGGACCTCGCTTTACCCCCCAGCCTGCTCTGCTGTCCCCTTCCCCGGTTCCTCAGGGAGCAGCTCCCGGGCCCACCCTCTGGGGTCAGGGCTCCTTCCCCTGCTCTCTGGCTCCTGCACCAGCCAAGGTTTCTGCCACAACACATCCGGAGCTGCTCTGTGCTCTCCAGCTCCCGCCCCAGCCTGAGCCCTTCACCTGGGCCCTTCTCTCTCACCCCTGCTGGGTTCCTGGTCCCCTCTTCCCAGCGGCCTCCCTTCCTCAGATCACACCAGATGCATCCAGTTACATGAAGTGGCGGGACCTCTCAGCCGCGGTGGCTCGGTGGCTCTGCTCCCTGTGGGCTGCCTGCTCTCCTGCTTCTCTTCTTGAGGCCTCTTCTCTGGAAGCCCCCTCAACCCAGAAGGGTGAGAGGAGCTGGTGCTTTCAAATCAGACCAGCTACTCCACTCAGCCCTGCCCCTTTCAGCTGAGTGGGCTCAGGACTGTAATTAATCTGTATGGGCCTCAGTTTCCCTAACATTAGATGGTAGGGTTAGGATGACATTAGAGACAGCGTTCTCACCTTGTTGCTTAAGTACAATCAGAGGGCCGGCCAAGAAGAGGGGAAGCATGACCCAGACGGAGCAAGTTGGCTCCAGAAGGGGACACGTTGGGGAACCTGCAAGAGGGGCAGTGCAGACCCGCCTTTTACCTGGCAGACAGCGGGCATTCCCCGGCAGTAGGTGCTCATAGGTGTTGAACAGCCCTGCGTTGGAGACCACGACGGGGCAATAGATGTTCACCAGCTCATGCCCCTTCTTCACACTGACACCTGCAGGCACAAGTGCTTGGCTGAGGGTCTGTGAGCTCCAGGACAAAGAGGAAGGCCCACGGCCCCCATGGATCTCTCTCTGCCTGTGCCCATTTCTCAGACCTTGGAGTCCAGCTACCTAGACTCTGGTAGGGCAGGCCCCTGGGAAAATGCAAAGTGAGTGAATATTTTCAAGTGCTTTCAGCCTATCCTACAACTTGGGCTTGCTTTTCCTAGCTCTGTACCCACCTGCGTGTGTGCGTTTGTGTGTACTCTGTGTTTGAGCCAAATCCCAGACAAGGCTCAAGGGCTAAAGCGCTTCCAGTGGAAATCCAGGCCCTTTTCTCTGCTGCCAGAGTTGTTTCCAAATACTCTTTAACACCCTCCAATCGGGGCTGGGCACATTGGCTCATGCCTGTACTCTCAGCACTTTGGGAGTCCAAGGTAAGAGGACCGATTGCTGGTATACAGGTCAAGACTAGCCTGGGCAACATAGTGAGACCCTGTCTCTACAAAAAAAAAAAAAAAGGCAATTTAAATTAAGCTGTATGGGGTTGTGCACACCTGTAGTCCTATCCCCTCAGCCAGACGAATGGGTTCAGCCCAGGAATTAAACGCTACAGTGAGCTCTGATGACACTACCACACTCTAGCCTGGGCAACAGAGTGAGACTGTGTCGCTAAAAAAATGAATGGATGAATGAATGAATGAATGAATAAAATAAAAATCAAACCCTGCAATGATGCCTCATCCTGGATAAGAGAACCTCCGAAATCTTACAGCAGCCTGTGCAATGTGGTCCCTTCTGTGTGTCCAGCTCCATCCATCTCTGCTCACTCTCACTAAACTCCCACTAAACTATTAGGCAGAACCAATATCAAACAGCTGAGAGTCAACCATTTCTCACCTACAAAAATGACAATTTCTCATTGTTCAACCTAATACTTCTGGATGCCTGAAAACACTCAGCTCTTTCATGTCTTCATGTCTTTGTGCATGCTGCTTCCCCTTCCCGGAATATTCTCCAACCTCATCTGTTTGCTAGGTTCATCTCACCCTTTATTACTCAGCTGCACACCTGTGCCTCCAGGAGGTTTCCCCTGTTCCACCATGCTGTCTGTTACCCCCATCCTTAGCACACTCCTCCAGATGGCACGTAAATGAATGGTTTTTGTTTTTGTTTAAGACGAAGCCTCACTCCATTGCCCAGACTGGAGTGCAGTGGCGCGATTTCAGCTCACTGCAACCTCTGCCTCCCGGGTTCAAGCGATTCTCCTGCCTCAGCCTTCCAAGTAGCTGGGAGTACAGGCTCCCAGCACTGTGCCTGGCTAATTTTGGTATTTTCAATAAAGACAGGGTTTCACCATATTGGCCAGGCTGGTCTTGAACTCCTGACCTTGTGATCCACGCACCTCGGCCTCCCAAAGTGCTGGGATTACAGGCGTGAGCCACGGTGCCCGGCCCTGGCTAATGTTTGTATTTTTGGTAAAGACGGTTTCACCATGTTGGCCAGGCTGGTCTCAAACTCCCGACCTCAGGCGATGTGCCTGCCTTGGCCACCCAAAGTGCTGGGATTACAGGCATGAGCCACCGGCGCCCCACCTCTTTTATCTCGATCTTTTATTACCTAGCACTTGAAAAACAAATATATCTGGATTGTATTTACCTCAAATGATAAACCTACCTTGCTTCCTGGACCCCTTTCAGTTAGGAGAACTTGTTCACGGACATCAGAGAAAACCTTGCACAACTGACAGCCACCTCTCTCTTACCACCCAGTAACTTATCAGTCTCTTCTACTAATGGATTCTCTCAGATCACTGATGGCCTTTTCTCCTTGATTTTTTATTTTGCACTGGGTCCCCCACTTATCACCTCCTTGAAAGGTTCCTCTGATAAATGCATGTCTATACCAGCCCAGTTTTTCCCAGGCCTCTTTTTGTCTGCTTCCCTGGCTTCTTTAAGCACCCATTAGTCATGGATGGTCTGTTCTGTTTAACAGACTCCTTCTTGCACAGACCCTCTATTCCAAGAGTCATTTATACTGGAATTCGGAGTCCCTATCCAGGTTAGAGCATCAATCTGAGCCAGTGTAATAAGGTTCTAGGCCTCACTTTACAGACAGAGGCAGGGAACCTTGCTGGCCTCCATACTGCCATGTGGAATCAAAGGTTATTTATTCATTCCATTGGTCACTGAGCAGCATTTATTGAGCCTCTAATATGTTCTAAGATTTATAGATACAAAGATAAAAGATAGTCTCTACACTCAAGAAGACAATTGGCTGGTCACGGTGGCTCACGCCTGTAATCCCAGCACTTTGGGAGGCCGAGGCGGGCGCATCACAAGTTCAGCAGATTGAGACTCCCTTGGCTAACACATGGTGAAACCCCGTCTCTACTAAAAATACAAAAAATTAACCGGGCGTGGTGGCGGGCACCTGTAGTCCCAGCTACTCGGGAGGCTGAGGCAGGAGAATGGCGTGAACCCAGGAGGCGGAGCTTGCAGCGAGCTGAGATCGTGCCACTGCACTCTAGCCTGGGCGACAGAGCAAGTCTCCATCTCAAAAAAAAAAAAAAAAAAAAAGTCATAGATTACTGGGTAAATAATTTTATCTATTAAATAAATAACTAAATACTGTTCTTTGGGGACCTTGCAATCCTTTATTTTTCTTTTTTTTTTAAGACGGTGTCTCGCTCTGTTGTCCAGGATGGGGTGCAGTGGTGCAATCTCGGCTCACTGCAATCTCTACCTCCCGGGTTTAAGCGATTCTTCCGCCTCAGCCTCCCAAGTAGCTGGGACTACAGGTGCGTGCCACCACACCCAGCTAATTTTTGTATTTTTAGTAGAGATGGGGTTTCACCATATTGGCCAGGCTGGTCTCAAACTCCTGACCTTGTGATCCGCCTCAGCCTCCCAAAGTGCTGGGATTACAGGCATGAGCCACCATGCCCAGCCATATTTTTCTTTTTTACTTTTTTTTTTTTTTTTAAAGAGACAGAGTTTAACCATGTTTCCTAGGCTGGTCTCAAATTCCTGAGCTCAAGCAATCCTCCCATCTCAGCTTCCCAAAGTGTTGGGATTACAGGCGCAGACCACCATGCCCGGCCGATCCTTTATCTTTCCTGCTTCTTTTTTATTTCTGGACTAATCACTATCCCTGGACCCTGCTCTGGGGCAGATTCTCACCTTTAGCCCCCATGAGGAGGTCAGTTCTCCTACTCCGTCTGGTCTTAGGGACACCCCAGGTCTCGTCCACACCAACCCAGGGACCCAGAAGGGCAGGGTAGGGCAGGGCTCTCACCACAGGCTTTCCCAGCTGAGTCCAGCAACACACTTTGCACAGTGGCCCTTGTAAGGACAGCGCCCCCAGCCCGCTGAATCACAGGGATGGTATGGAAGGCAATTTCACTGGAACCCCCTCGGGGATAAAAGGCTCCTTTCAGGTAGTGGTTAACCAGCAGAGCGTGCATGGAAAAGGCACTGTGACGGGGGGTGACACCTGCAGAAGGAAGGAAGGGTGGTGAGCAGGCAAAAGCAGGCACCAGCACCATTCAGAAACGAATGTGGAATTCTGTGAGATAACACATAGCCCAGTCTATCCAAGGATCCACACGTTCCTCAGGGTTCAAGGCAGTCAGAAGAGACTTTCCATCCAATCATGGGGTACCTTAGAGATCTTGGCACCAGTAGGAATATCCTCCCTGCAAACTGCCATGCTGCCAAGACCAGGGAAGACAGTGTTGGTTGAACTGAAAAATCATCCAGGGCATGGATGAAGAGAATTTTGACCAAGGAGTCCAGCAGGTTGCCAGACTTCTCATCCACAAGCTCCAGAGGGCCTGGGGTTTACACTGCTCCATATCAGTCAGTCAGGCAGGGTCAAGAAGAAAGACTGAGAGACGAGAGGGTAACCCTTCCTCCTCCAGAAGCTGCCCAGAGCCCATGGCCAGTACCCACCGTAAGTGGGGAAGATGTAGCTGAGCACTGCCTGGAGCTCAGAGGAGGCCCCCAGCTGCTGCAGGACCTCAGCCAGGCTCTGGGTGGATGCATGAAGGAATGGAGAGAAACGAGTCAGCAGCCCGCACCTGTCGAGGAGCTGAATCACGGGCAATGGGAGGAACTTCAACAGGATGGCATGAACGACTCCATTGGATACCACCTGGGGGAGTGAATGAGGAGAGCAGGCCTCACCTCTGGAACCGCTGTGACAGAACTGCTATCCCCATAGCCTGGACCAGCCCGAGGATCCAGCAACACTTACCCCTGACTGAACTTTGCTGAATTTGAATTTTTAAAAAAATCTATACTCTGTGAATTTTTCCTGTCCTACACTTGGATGAGTCCTTCTTTTACTTTTTATTTTCCTGCTCAAATTCCTTTTCAAAAATCCCAGTCTGGTCTCGGATGAGTAAAAAGGAGTAGTGATCTGATGTCACGGAAGCCAGCCTAGTCAGGGAGGAGAGCAGGGCATCCCTGGAGGCCAGGGGGACAGCAGCAGCCGTGGAGCCAAGGCTCCAGAGAGAGAGAGAGACAGAGAACTGGATGGACTCGGGTGGAGGCTGAGCTAAGAACAGATATGACTCTTCCTCCCTTCCTGCCTCTCCCCACTGCACTCTCCACCCCCAGTGCCTCCACTAATAATGAAGAAAGTCAGTCTTGTCGGGAATAAACTCTGGGTCCTCAGCATGTCCATGTTACCTTAACCAGCTTTATATACTTGTCAATGATAGCTTCCTCCTGTGGAAACTTCTCTTTGAGGCCCTGAATGTAGGCTTTCTCTCCACTGTACATGGGGTACTCCTTTCGGCCATTAGGCCCTTCCAGTACCATGATGTCAAAAGGAGAAGACATGGGAACCCAGTCCAGCTGCCCTTCAGTGATCTGGTCCAAGATAAAACGGCCAATGCTGCCCTCCTCCATACGCCCAATGTAATGGATTCCTGTTGGGAGATGGAAAAACAAGGCAGTAAAGGCATACGAGGATTGAGCCCTGGAAAGGTGGCTGAGGAAGTGAGGTGGAAGAGGTTATCTGGCCTGGCCAAGTTCATGCCCAGAGTGAGCTGCCCACCCTGTCTGTAGGGAGGTGTCACAGCAGAAACTACCAGATCCCTGCCCGGCTCAACTCCAGTAGCTATGCTGTCACATAAGAAAAGTGCCCAGAGGCTGGGCACGGTGGCTCACACCTGTAATCCCAGCACTTTGGGAGGCTGAGGGAGGTGGATCACTTGAGGTCAGGAGTTCGAGACCGGCCTGGCCAACATGGAGAAACCCCGTCTCTACTAAAATACAAAAAATTAGCAGGGTGTAGTGGCCCACTTGGTGGGATTACTGAGTGTAATCCCAGCCACTCGGGAGACTGAGGCATGAGAACCACTCGAACTCAGGAAGTGGAGGTTACAGTAAGCTGGGATCACACCACTGCGCTCCAGCCTGGGTGACGAAGTGAGACTCTGTCTGAAACAAACAAAAAAAGTGCCCAGAGAGAAGACGGCACTTCCAAAACAACAGAAATGCTCAGTATCACCCCACAAGGGCTGCTCCAAGCCTCTTCAACATATAGCCATGCTCCCAACCCTTTTCCACACAAGCCTTACCTGTGTCAAATTCAAGGCCATTCTCTCCAAAGGTATGACAGGCACCCCCTGCCTTGGTATGTTGCTCCAGCACCAGGACTCGCTTGCCAGCTTTAGCTAGAATTGCAGCTGCAGCCAGACCCCCAAAGCCACTGCCAATTACCACCACATCCAGCTTCTCCGGCACTCGGCTGGCTGAAAAAGCTACAGCAGAAGGGCCAAAGGGTGGGTTTCTCAGGCAGGGGCAGGGAAATAGCAAAGATAGGGAAACCAAAGAAGACTTCTCTAGCTTGTACAGTGCAAGAAGCCTCTCGAGCAGTTTGGCACGGAACTCTTGACTAACATGTTTCAAACATTTTACCTGGGAATACTCAGAACCAGCCAGGCAGATTTGGGGTTTTGTGTTTTTGTTTTTTGAGACAGGGTCTCGCTCTGGCCCAGGCTGAAGTGCAGTGATGTGATCATAGTTCACTGCAGCCTTGAACTCCTGGCCTCAAGCAATCCTCCTGCCTCTGGCTCCCGAGTAGCTAGGACTACGGGTGCATGCCACCATGCCTGGATAATTTATTTTTATTTTTATTTATTTTTGAGACAAGAGTCTCGCTCTGTCACCCAGGCTGGAGTGCAGTGGTGCAATCTCCGCTCACCGCAAGCTCCGCCATCCGGGTTCACACCATTCTCCTGCCTCAGTCTCCCAAGTAGCTGGGACTGCAGGTGCCTGCCACCACGCCTAGCTAATTTTTTTTTAAATATATATTTCTTAGTAGAGACGGGGTTTCACCGTGTTAGCCAGGATGGTCTCGATCTTCTGACCTCATGAGCCACCCGCCTTGGCCTCCCCAAGTGCTGGGATTACAGGCATGAGCCACCATGCCCGGCCTATTTTATTTTTTATAGAGACAAAGTCTTGCTATGTTGCCCAGGCTGGTCTTGAACTCCTGGCCTCAAGTGATCCACCCACCTCGGCCTCCCAAAGTGCTGGGATTACAGGCATGAGCCACCATGCCCAGCCCACAGGCTGGGTTTCTTTGGAAGATGCAGGGTCTGCAAGCAACAATGGAGTAGCTAGGTCTAATGGTGGCTCTTCCAGGTCCTGATGGAAAGTCTTGGGCAGGACAGAACTGCTCAGAGGCTGCAGCTCTCAGAAATCACAGCACCAGCCCGTCCCATAGGGAAGGTCTCCGGGCATTGCTGAGGGAGGCAGCACCTTCTCACAAGACAAAACTGGATAGCAAGTGGTGCTATATGGGTACTTCCAACACAAGATCTGTTCTTTAAATCACTGGCAAAGAACTGAGATCTGGGATATTTCAAGATACAAGAGAACTTGGCAAACTGCTTATTTTTTGAATGTTTTTAGACAGATCAATAGTAAAAAAAAAAATTTCATATGTAAGTATATAAGATAAATATATGAAACAAGTTTCACAATGCAATACTTAGTGGAACTACATATAATGCACTCTGATATTTTCTATTCTACTGCATTCTAAAATGTTAGTTGTGGCCCAGCACGATGGTTCACGCCTGTAATCCCAACACTTTGGGAGGCCAAGGTGGGCGGATCGCTTGAGGCCAGGAGTTCAAGAGCCTAGACAACATGTTGAAACCTTGTCTCTACTAAAAATACAAAAATTAGCTGGGCACGCACACCTCTCGGGAGGCTGAGGCATGATAATCACTTGAACCCAGGAAGCGGAAGTTGCAGTGAGCAGAGATCGCACCACGGCACCCTAGCATGGGCAACAGAGAGACTCTGTTTCAATAAATCAATAAATAATGCCAGTTGCAACTCACTAAATTGATTTCATAGCCCCCTAATAGATCACAACACGGTTTGAAAAACAGTTAAGCTAGTCATCTCATTTTTACACCAGCCCAGGTAGGTGCTAATGGTTATGCAGCAAATTAGTGACAGTTCAAGCTAAAACTCAGTTCTCGGAAGTCCAGATGATTAGTCCTTCCACTTAGAACAGTATTGTCTCTGATTGTGCAGCAAGATATGACACAGAATTCTAAAATTTACAAGTGAGAGGGACTCTGTAGATCAAACAGGTGATCCATTATTTTTTAAAGCAGCAGAACTCTTTAAACCCTAGAAGCAACCACAAAATATGTTTTAAAGATGAGAGTGGAGAGCAGGCTCTGAGCCTGAGGCACCCTGTTGAATCTCTGCCAAAGTTTCAGAACTAGGGTTCAATCCTTATGACTCGAGACCATGCAAAGCCTGTTAAATCACCGGACGGGCAAAATGCAATTTCCTATGCAAGTTGGGACACATTCCTGTGTTGTCCCCCACACCCCTGAGCTCTCATGGGAGGGTAGGTGAAAAAGTTAAGGTCCTGGAACCAAGTAGAGGAATGTCTCTTATCAGTTCCGTGAGCTGCCGGGATAACAAGTGGCAGGGCGGGTGCCAAGACCTTGCAAACCAAGGACAATCACCGCGCCCTTGGGACTACTATTCCCGGGGCCTGCTAGGGCGAAGGCTATCGGGGCCTGCTAGGGCAAAGGCTATAGACAGTGTCGGACACTAAAGCAGGGCTCCTCCCCGTGCAAGGAAGCCCTCCCAGTACTTTATATATGGGGAAACTGAGGCCCGGGTCTGGTAGCGGCTGCCTTGGCAAAATGAGAACCCAAACCTGTGAGAATGCCTGAAGTGCAGCCCCGGATCCCAGGGTCCCTCCTACTACCTTGTTTGAGAACCTTCTTCCTGGCCTCCTTGTCAGTTACCAGGGGCGCTGGTGGCCGTTTGACATCTTCAGAGAAAGGATTTGGGGATTTGCCAGAGAACAGTCCCAAGTAAACTTTGCAGACGACGGCCAGCAGCAGCACGGTCAGGAACAGCACCAGCGGAAGCCACATCTCGCCGGCGTCGGGTCGGGTAAATGGGACAGCTCCGACTGCGCTCAGCCTCTAGGACTGTGGCTCCGCCCGGGGTAGTTGCTCTCCAGTCAGGAGGCGGAGGCAGCTCTGAGCACTGATTTACCTACCAGCCAGCCAGCCAACCGGCCAGCGAGAAGCCAACAATCCGGTGACGATTGACCCTCCCGGCTCTCCGTACTCTTTTGCCCGGCTCTCCGTACTCTTTTGCCCTGCATAGTTTCCATTGCCTACTGGGAAATGTAGTTCTCGGGGCCGGGGGAGACGGCACGGAAGAGGCCTGTGCGCAAGAGCAGATGAGGCCTAGCCGAGGCGGCGGGACCCCCAAGTTTGGAAAGCTGTGTTAAGGGTGAGAACGCGTTAACACCTGCCAAGGGGTTAACCCCTTTGAAAAGCTCCCTAACCCCTTTGATAAGCTGGTTGGTGCCTTTGTGGAGCTAGCAGCCGGCCTGAGGAGGGAGGGAGAATGTGATCCGGTTGAAACGATCACTGCAGGGCGAGACAAGGCCTAGAGTTGTAAGACTGAAAGAGAATCCCGACTGGGAGACAGGAGTCTTGAGTTCTGGTCCTGGGTCTGCCCTGGACTCGCTGCCCTGAGGTGTTAAATTGCTTTCCTCCTCTTATGCCTCCAGGCAATGCCAAAGTTCTGTCCAAAGTCCGCACACAACCCCTGTCTGACTGGGTGTCTTGAATTGAAATCTCTGTTCTGCACATCACAGCCGGTGAGCGTGTGGCTCTGTGCCCCTCAACATGGCCCATAGTTTTGTCCTGGGAGCCTGTCTGGGACGGAGTCCTTTATGGCGAGTCCCTAATGACACCCCATCCGTGGGGAACCTGGGGGATGGGGAGCCGTCTACGGACGAGCACGGTGAAACGATCAGCGAAGGACCGGTCCAATTTAAATTCCTATGCAGAGAGTCTAACCTCCAGCAAGCAGTTGAAGAATCATACCCCCTCCTTGCCTAAAGTGGATGCACAATGAATACTTGATTTGAGAAGGATCCATTTTTATAGGAAGGCCGTTAACTTAGGTCCAACTATCAGGAACTTGCCTTTGAGTACGTCCTTTTTTGACAGTTGTTGCTCTTTTCTTCTCTGATACAGACAGTGACTGTCCCTACTGAAGGCCCCAGCAGTACTCCAGCCAGGTGTGGAAAGCTGGTCACGATTCTACGCTACTTGGTTCATTTTCTACACAGCAACAGAAGAGCCTTCCTGAGACTGCTATTACCATACCCGCCTGTCATCTTGCCAAGGCTGGCCAATGTGTGTTTTGGCATAGGCTGTCATGGAGGCCATGGTGGAGGAAAAGGAAAGGGGGGGCAGATGTTGAGGCCCCAAAGGCCACAGTGAGAACAGTTCAGTTCCTGAGTTGCCAAGACTGAGGGGGCACTGTCCTGCCCGCAGGATTATAATGAGCCACATGTCCAGCCCAAGAGCCAGGAGGAATTCTTCCTCTCAGTGTTAATAATCAAAGCATCCTGACACCAGCAGCCAGTTCTTATGGAATCCTGATCATTATTACCACAGTGGAGAGCTGACCTGGTAGAGAGGCTACCCTCCTTCCTTAGTCACCCAAGCCTGTGAACTATGATTGTCAGTTGTATGTGGGCCGTCTGCCCACTTAGGATGCAATTTTTGATGTGACAGACATCCCAGATGTCCAATTCCCCCGTGATGAGGTATGAGCCTTGTCCAGCCCTTTTCCTCAGGGAAGCAATGTCAGATGAAAGACTTAGAGTTGCCCAAACTGGCTAGCCACGTGTACAGTATTGGTGATAACTGAGAAAGGTTAGAACATTGTGTGGCATTTTGAATTTCTACCATCATTGGAACCAGGTCTAGTATTATAAGCCCCAGACCCAACCTGTGGGTGAGGCCTAAACAAAGCCAGAGCACTTCAGCTAAGACGACCCACCAAGGTGCCACCTTTAGCCTAACCCCTTTGATAAGCTGGCCCAGGTCCCAGTAACTCCATTGTCAGAAACAGACCCCATCCCTTCTAGTGGTGCTGCTGCCTTTTGAGCACAGAATCCAGCCCACAGACCCCCTGCATGGTCCCCTTTTTGCCATCCTGTGGCATGGGTAATAAGAGGGAAGCATTTGGCTGAGGCAACTTGTTCATTCAGAATAAATTCACAGCTGCTTAAATTTTGTCAACAGGCCGGGCGCGTTGGCTCAAGCCTGTATTCCCAGCACTTTGGGAGGCCGAGGCGGGCAGATCACGAGGTCAGGAGTTTGAGACCAGCCTAACCAACGTAGTCAAACCCCGTCTCTACTGAAAATACAAAAATTAGCCGGGTGTGGTGGTGCACGCCTGTAATTCCAGCTACTCGGGAGACTGGGACAGGAGAATCGCTTGAACCTGGGAGGCGGAGGTTGCAGTAAGCCGAGATCACACCACTGCACTCCAGCCTGGGCAACAGGCAAGACTCCATCTCAAAAAATAAATAAATAAATAAATAAAAATTGTCAACAGAGGCATAACTGAACGATGAAACCAGTTTTCTTTTTCAATTTCCTTTTTTTTCTTTTGGGCAGAGCTGAGGCTTCAAAGACCTCAGGGGACTTCTCAGTACTCACAGAAACCTCCTACACCCTCAGATGGCACAAAGGGACCGTTTTCTTACTCTTAGTCTGAGTGACTGCCAACAAGGAAGGCAAAGGTAGAGGAACTGGATCTCTGGCTCTCCACATAGCTTCTGATCTCAGAACTTATTAAAACCCTTTCTGGGCCCAAAGACAAAGCTCACATGAACAAATGATTTTGAGTCATGAATGAAAAATCTTGCTCTTTCCATAGTAAAGAAGAATTCAGAGATGGACAGGTAAGCATGCAGTCTTGGGAAAGATGGTGTTGGTTTGAGATATATCATTAAGTATAGTAAGAATATATTAAGAGAATATGAAGCTTTAGAAAAATTTAGAAACTCTCATTATAGTTATCTTTGTTCTTTTTTTTTTTTTTTTTTTTTTTTTGAGACGGAGTCTCACTCTGTAGCCCAGGCTGGAGTGCAGTGGCCGGATCTCAGCTCACTGCAAGCTCCGCCTCCCGGGTTCACGCCATTCTCCGGCCTCAGCCTCCGAAGTAGCTGGGACTACAGGCGCCCGCCACCTCACCCGGCTAGTTTTTTGTATTTCTTAGTAGAGACGGGGTTTCACCGTGTTAGCCAGGATGGTCTCGATCTCCTGACCTCGTGATCCACCCGTCTCGGCCTCCCAAAGTGCTGGGATTACAGGCTTGAGCCACCGCGCCCGGCCTATAGTTATCTTTGTTCTATAAGAAGGAGCTTCTATTCACCTCAGGGTCAATTGCTTTTCCTGACAGCTTGTTTTCTGACTGAGTTATGAGATTTTTGTTTTCTTTTTGCTTGGGTAGTGGGGAGAATTTCATTGAGAAATCACCCTCAATGAAATTGATTTATATTTCATTGATTTGGATCATTTACCTTACTAGCCTCTTCCCTGTGAAATGCTTACTTTGGCCTGATCATCCTCAGGACTCAGTTCAATGTGATATGTCTTTGTATAAACTGGGCACCTAACCCTATATGCCTTACCTTTCATGCTACCTTGCCCACCCAAAAATGGTCTTAAATGGCGGCTCTGGGATTCAGTGGCCAGACTGGGACAAAGCCTTTGCTTTGGGTCTCCAGAAAGATTTTCTTCACCGTAGTAAGATGCGAACTGTTCCAAAGAGGGAAGTCTTTGGACACTGGAGGGGACTGAATTGGAGAAGGAAAGGAAGGAAAAGGAAAAAGAAGGAAAGGAAGATGAAATAAATACCAGGTACACAGACCGCTGCAGGAAGTTGTTCAGCACAATGAATCACCAAATATTTTAGAGATAAAATTTCAACAAAAATTTGAGACAAATATTTTGTGCTTAGTACTGTGCCAATGGGTATGAAACATATAAAAGAAATATAAGAGCCTGGGCACAGTGGCTCACACCTGTAATCCCAGCACTTTGGGAGGCCGAGGCGGGTGGATCCCCTAGGCCGGGAGTTGGAGAGCAGCCTGGCTAACTTGATGAAACCCTGTCTTTACTAAAAATATAAAATTAGCTGGGCATGGTGGTACATGCCTGTAATCCCAGCTACCCAGGAAGCTGAGGCAAGAGAATTCCTTGAACCCAGGAGGTGGAGGTTGCCGTGAGCTGGGATCACACCATTGCACTCCAGCCTTGGTGACAAAGTGAGACTCTGTCTCCAAAAAAAAAAAACAAAAAAGAAATATAAGAGAAGGTCCTTCTACAGGCCTTTTGCAGAGGAACTTTTGCTGTATACAAGGGTTACTGGACTTACGGGCATGAGACAGCATTGTAGCCCCAGCTAGTAAGGTGGGTTGCCTTGAGTAGGTGGAATTGACCTTGATCAGAGAAGAGGGTGAAGGTGTATTCTGAAGGAAAACTACATGAATGAAGGAATGGAAGTGAGGAGAGGATCTGTGGCAGGTGTGTTGATGGTATTACAGTGTGAAATCATAATGTTTAGCCATCATGAGCTCCGTTACCAGGGAGTTTGGTTAGCTGTGGGGTGTTTTGGCCTCCATCCTTGCTCTGGAACATGAAGAAATGGAAGGTATGCTTAATGAGCATTAGTTGGAAACAGAAAAAAAAAAAAAAGGCAGAAGGATTAGAGTAACAGGATGAGCTGGGATTCCAGGGCTTTGGCATAATACATTCACATGGTTCAAAATCCAAAAAGTACGGAAGGATATACGTATTTTGAAGAAACCGCCTTCCACCCTTGTCTCCCAGCCACTCAGTTTTTCTGCTGGAGGCAAAGCTACTGCTTCCTTGGGTATAACTCTGAAAATGGTCTCTGCAGAGACAAGCAAATGTGCTTATGTACTTCTAAAAAATAAAATGGTAAAATAGTGTATAGACTTGGTCCTTTGCTTTTTCACTTAATACATCATGAAGATTGTCCCATATTGCTTGTAAAGCACTTTCTCATTTGTCTTTATGGCTATATAGTATCTTACTGAGTGAATGTGCTTTTATTTATGTAATCAACCCATTAGTGAACATTTAGGTTTTTCCAGCCTTTCGCTATTATAAACAGTGTGACAAAGAATCACACTATAAATGTAAACATGTCATTTTGCACATGGATGACTATGTCTGTTAGATAAATTACTAGAATGCAGTATCAGGCCCCACATATACAAAACATGTATGATTTTGTTAGGTACTGTCAAGCTGTAGAGGTGGTAATAGTTTAATCTCCAGTGTGTTGTGCACTCTAGCCAATGTACATATTATCAGACTTTTCGATCTTTGATGATCTGACTAATAAAACAGTAGTTTTACATGACTTTTTTTTTTTTGAGATGGAGTCTTTTTCTGTTGCCCGGGCTGGAGTGCAATGACACTGTCTCGGCTCACTGCACCCTCTGTCTCCAGGGTTCAAGAGATTCTCCTGCCTCAGTTTTTCAAGTAGCTGGGATTACAGGTGCGTGCCACCACGCCCAGCTACTTTTTTGTATTTTTAGTAGAGACGGGGTTTCACCACGTTGGCCAGCCTGGTCTTGAACTCCAGACCTGAGGTGATCCACCCACCTCAGCCTCCCAAAGTGCTGGGATTGTACAGGCGTGAGCCACCACACCCGGCGACGTGTTTTTTTGTTTGTTTGTCTGTTTTAATGAATGAGGTTGAACATTTGTTCATATGTTTAAAACCAATTTGTGATTGTGCAGGATGGCTCGTGTCTGTAATCCCAGCACTTTGGGATGCCAAGGTGGCTTGAGCCCAGAATTTGAGACCAGCCTGAGCAACCATATGTAGAACCCATGGCTACATGGGCATGGTGCTGTGCACCTGTGGTCCCCGCTACTTGAAAGGCTCAGGTGGGAGAATCCCTTGAGCCAAGAAGTGAGTGAGCCATGATCGTGCAGTCCCAGGTGGAGCAACAGAGCGAGGCTCTATCTCAAAAAAAAAAAAAAAAAAAAACATGGAGAAATCCCGTCTCTACTAAAAATACTCTACTAAAAATTAGCCGGGCATGGTGGTACATGCCTGTAATCCCAGCTACTCAGGAGGCTGAGGCAGAAGAATTGCTTGAACCCGGGAGGCATAGGTTGCGGTGAGCTGAGATTGCGACATTGCACTCTGGCCTGGGCAACGAGAGCAAAACTCCATCTCAAAAAAGAAAAAAAGAAAAACCACCATTTGGGTTACCTTTTGCGTAAACCATCTATCCGTCTATATCCTTCTTCTAATGTTTCCACTGGGTTGGTTTTTCTTTCTTTTTTTTTTTTTGAGACGGAGTCTCACTCTGTTGCCCAGGCTGGAGTGCAGTGGTGTAATCTCAGCCTACTGCAACTTCCACCTCCCAGGTTGAAGCAATTCTCGTGCCTCAGCCACCTGAGTAGCTGGGATTACAGGCATGTGCCACTACATCCAGCTAATTTTTGTACTTTTTAGTAGACATTGGGTTTCACCATGTTGGCCAGGCTGGTCTTGAACTCCTGACCTCAAGAGATCCTCCTGCCTTGGTCTCCCAAAGTACTGGGATTACAGGCGTGGGCCACCGTGCCCGGCTGGTTTTTCTTTTTTGCCTTAATGATTTTTTTTTTTTCTCTGAGATTAAACTTTATTAAAGTTACTTTTCCAGAAAATTCAGTAAATATGGTAATGTAGGAAGAAACTTAGGCTCATAAGTCTTTTAAATTTTTACATAATCTTTAATGATGTTGATCAGGAAATTCTTTCATTGGTAGAATTACTTCTCCAGTCTGCAGAATTGTATCACCTGGGAATATTCTGGGCTTCTTTTCAACGATGCCATATGGTTTTTTTAGATACATGATACTTCGCGGTGCTCTATATGTTCAGAGAAACTTCTCTAGTAACGAACTGTAGAAATGATGTTTTTTTTAAAAAAAAAAAACAGTAGAGACAGGGTCTCCCCATGTTGCCCAGGCTGCTCTTGAACTCCTGGGCTCAACAATCCTCCTGCCTCAGCTTCCCAAAGTGCTGGGATTATAGCTGTGAACCACCACACCTGGTGATTTTTAGGATTTTAAAAGAACACATTGAAAAATTAGCTGTGTATCTGTGAAATGAGTTACAAACGATTGGCTGAGTATTTTGGTCAGTTTTTTGTTTTTAATCTGTAGCAGGGGATAGGTTTGGCTGAGCAGAAAGGCCATAGCAAACTGCTTCACTAAACTTCACTCACTCAGAACCCTCAGACTTTAAAGAGCCAGGAAATCGGTATAAAACTTTTGAGATAACATTAACTAAGCTTTTTGCAGTTTTTCTTAGGACCAGATTAAGTAGAAGTTTTCCTTTACAATATTCATTATGGTTGATATCTCTGGAGTTCAACCTTTTTTTGTGGTACTGGGAAAAGGTGCGACATTTACCTTTGCAGGGACACAGATGGAGCTGGAGGCCATTATCTTTAACAAACTAACACAGAACAGAATCTATATACCACATATCCTCACTTATAAGTGGGAGCTAAATGATGAGAACACATGGACACACAGAAGGGAACAACGCACACTGGGGCCTATTGGAAAGTGGAGGGCGGGAGGAGGGAGAGGATCAGGAAAAATAACTAATGGGTACTAGGCCAAATACCTGGCTGATGAAATAACCTGTACAACAAACCCCTGTGACACAAGTTTACCTATGTAACAAACTTGCACATGTACCCCTGCACTTAAAAGTTAAAGAAAAAAAAGGTATGACATTTAAACTATTAACTTTGGGGGATTAATATGTGCCTGGGAGATTGACCCTTGTCTGTTTTACAGGGCGAAAGAATGTCTGCTGGATATTCTCCATCATATGACAACGACAAGAGTGTTCTGGCTTTCAGAGGAATCCCTGTACGTATCCCCCACACCTTGGTACCTTCTGCCAGGGCTTTTGTTGTGTGTTACAGTGTGGTGCCAGAACTCTGCTAGACACTGGGGACACAAGGGTGGCGTAGACCTTAGCTTCCAGGAGCTCACACTTGAGGGCACTGAGGGGAGGGTGTATGGAACACAAATATACAGAACAACTTCTATTTAATAAGATAATTGCTATAATGAAGCAGGCTATAAAATGCAGAGAAAATACCAAAGGCATACCACAGTCTGAAATGAGTATATGAATTTTTGTTTATTTACATTCAAGGTGGACATACACTTGTCCCCAGCATCACCCAACTTCCACATCATAGTTGAAGTTTTCCAGGTACCTCAATTTAAAATTGACTTCAAGGCCAGGCACAGTGGCTCATGCCTATAATCCCAGCACTTTGGGAGGCTGAGGCAGGCGGATCACTTGAGGTCAGGAGTTCAAGACCAGCCTGGCCAACACAGTGAAACCCCATCTCTACTGAAAATACAAAAACTAGCTGGGTGTGGTGATCCACACCTGTATTCTCAGCTACTCGGGAGGCTGAGATGGGAGGAGCATTTGAGCCTAGGAGGTGGAGGTTGCAGTGAGCCAAGATCAGGCCACTGCACTCCAGCCTGGGCAACAGAGTGACACTCCATCTCAGAAAGTAAATAAATAAAAAGTAAAAAAAATAAAATTGACTTCAGTCACCCCATCAGGGCACACTAGATCCTTTTGGGCTCCAGTGTCAAGGACATTCAGTACAGTGGATGGGAAGTGTTTGTGTATATGGGGGTACGTGGATTCTATCTTCACACTAAAGGTCAGCTGCCTCTACAGATCTCAGAGTTGAAGAACCATGGCATTCTCCAGGCTCTGACCACAGAAGCTAATGAATGGGAGCCACGTGGTAAGGTTCCCTTCAGGGCCCTTGGAGTCTGGGTGGGACCCAAGTCAGACCTTCCCATGGATCTGCTGTTCATCATTTGAATTTCTCTCACTCCTTGTCTTTCAGAATTTTGTAGATTTATCGTTCATTGGGGAAAAACAGAATCAACACTGAATTAGGAATCAAAAGACTTGAGTTCTGATCTTCCACTGCTAGTGGTTTACTCTGTGCCTCTGGGCAAGCCATATGATCTCTCATATTAGTACCTCCCTTATCCTCAAAGGGATGTTATGAAAATGAGACACCATATGGGAAAATCCTTTGAAAAGTTGTTCTACTTTATCTGCTTTGCAAGGCGCTTCCCCATACCATATTTAAAGTTCACTTCACTTGCCAAGTGATTATGGAGAAAGGTACAGTCCAACCTGGCCAACATGGTGAAACCCCATTGTATTAGTCTGTTTTCATGCTGTTGATAAAGACATACCCAAGACTGGGAGGAAAAAGAGGTTTAATGGACTTACAGTTCCACATACCTGGGGAGGTCTCACAAACATGGTGGAAGGCAAGGAGGAGCAAGTCACATCTTACATGGATGGTGGCAGGCAAAGAGAGAACTTGTGCAGGAAAACTCCTGTTTTTAAAACCATCAGATCTTGTGAGACTTATTCACTGTCATGAGAACAGCACAGCAAAGACTGGCCCCCATGATTCAATTATGTCCCACTAGGTCCCTCCCACAACACATGGAAATTATGGGACTTACAAGGTGAGATTTGGGTGGGGACACAGAGCCAAACCACATCACCATCTCTACTAAAAATATTTTAAAAATTAGCCAGGTGTAGTGGTATGCACCTGTAATTCCAGCTACTCTGGAGGCTAAGGCACAAGAATTGCATGAACCCAGAAGATAGAGGTTGCAGTGAACCAAGATTGTACCACTGCACCCATACCTGGCCACTAGAAATATGAACTTTTAAAAAAATAATATATATTTTTTTAGAGACAGGGCCTTGCTCTGTCCCCCAGGCTGGAGTGCAGTGGTGCAATCATAGAACTTGTGGGTTCAAGCAGTCTTCCCACCTCAACCTCCTGAGTAACTGTGTATCACCAGGCCTAGCTAATTTTTTTTTTTTAAGAGACAGGTTCGCCGGGCGCAGTGGCTCACACCTGTAACCCCAGTACTTTGGGAGGCCGAGGCAGGCAAATCACGAGGTCAGGAGTTCAAGACCAGCCTGACCAACATGGTTAAACCCCGTCTCTACTAAAAATACAAAAATTAGCTGGGCGTGGTGGCGCATGCCGGTAATCCCAGCTACTCAGCCGGCTGAGGCAGGAGAATCGCTTGAACCTGGGAGGCAGAGGTTGCAGTGAGCCGAGATCGTGCCACTGCACTCCAGCCTGGCAGCAAAGCAAGACTCCATCTCAAAAAAAAAAAAAAAAAGAAAAGAGACAGGTTCTTGCTGTGTTGCTCAGGCTGATCCTCACCTTAGCCTCCCAAGTATCTGGGAATGTAAGTGTGAGCTTCTATGCATACCTAAAAAACATTCTAATATAGGAACATCATTTGTACATCTGTGAAGTTTCTTTTAAGGGAATTTTATCTTTATGGTGGCAAACCCAGCATTAATATATTAATAATTTTTAGTTTAAATGCATATATATATATATATTTCCCCCCTCCCAGGGACAGGGTCTCGCTCTGTTGTCCAGGCTGAAGTGTAGTTATGTGATTATAGCTCACTCCGGCCTTGAACTCCTGGGCTCCAGCAGGGACTACAGGTGTGCATTACCATGCCTAGCTAATTTTTAAAAAATTTTATGTAGAGACGGTCTCATTATGTTGCCCAGGCTGGTCTCAAACTCCTGGCTCAAATGATCCTCCCACTTTGGCCTCTCACAATACTGGGATTACAGGCATGGTGGCATGTGCCTATGTCTCTGGCTAACTAAAAAAAAAAAGTAAAAAATAAATGTAGGCTGGGCACAGTGACCCACGCCTGTAATCCCAGCACTTTGGGTGGCTGAGGCGGGCGGATCACGAGGTCAGGAGTTCTCTACTAAAAATACAAAAATTAGCCAGGAGAGTCGCTTGAACCCAGGAGGCAGAGGTTGCAGTGAACCGATATCGCACCACTGCATTCCAGCCTGGGCAACATAAAAAAATAATAATAATATAATAATAAATAAATAAAAATGTAAAAAAAGAATTAATAAGCTGACTCAAATGGCAGTGCTGTTGACTATATGAGTAAGTGGAAGAGAGCTGAAATAAAGGAGACAATTATAAAAAGGAAAAAAGATAACCGAATTAATGTGAGTTGTGTTAATTATCCTGAACATTTGTCCTTTGCCCCCGTGTTCTTCTGTTGGTCAGGGAAAACAGTATTTATGTCACACGTAGGAAGCGTGTGCTTCGTTTCAAGAGAAAAGGAGAAGAAGCTCTTAACATGGTTTGGGCATTTGTGTTTTTAAGCACCAGCTTGCTATTGCTGGTGGAAACCTTGAACTTTTGCTGACTAACCTGTTTTGACAGCATATTCCCACCTCCTTGCCACTGTGGTTCCTGCTCCTGGCTCACAGACTTTGATCAAGCTGTGTGTTGGCAAGGGCGTATGGGGTTGGGGAGGGATTGGTTAAGTTGCTGGTACATGAGGCTCTGAAGGTGAAGAATTAATAAATCAATAAAGCTGCATGAAGGTAAAAGGGTGAAGGATCCTGTTCAACTTCACAGTAAGCATTGCGTCCTGCTGTTCTACTCATCCCCAACCCCCTTTTTTTTTTTTGAAACAGAGTCTCACTCTTCCCTCCCAGGTTGGAGTGCAATGGCGCAATCTTGGTTCACTGCAACCTCTGCCTCCGGGTTCAAGTGATTCTCCTGCCTCAGCCTCCCAACTAGCTGGGATCACAGGCACCCACCACTGTACCCAGCTAATTTTTTTGTTTGTTTGTTTTTTTGTTTTTTTAGTAGAGACAGGGTTTCACCATGTTGGCCAGGCTGGTCTCGAACTCCTGATCTCAGGTGATCCACCCACCTCAGCGTCCCATAGTGCTAGGATTACAGGCGTGAGCCACTGCATCCAGCCTTGTCTTCCCTTTGTGTTCAGCCACTTTGTCCCTCCTTTTTAGCTCTTATGCTGAAAGCAAGTTTTATTTTCTTGATCATCCAAGGTTGAATATTCTCTTAAAGCTGTCTTAGAAACTCCAAGGCTCAGTGTCTGCTACTCCGGAGTGGAGCGGGTGAGATGGAATTTCCTAGAGGTCCAGACATTTAGGACCCGGACCCATCTCACCCGCTGCCTCTGGCCATTGCTGTGCTGGACCTGAGCCCACACCTGTGTTGATGATAGTGGCTTACCTTTGGGCCACTTGCTGTCCTAGGAAGTAGAAGAATTACCCCATCCTCACAACAGCCCCATGAGGGGTTACAGTTGATAAGTAACTTGCTTGAAGACATACAGCTAGTAAGAGGCAGAGATGAAGCATTCACATGTAGTTTGGCTCTCAAGTGTACTTTCAGTAACTATCCTCTACTGCTTCCCAGCTGCTTTCTCTTCCTTATTATCTATTAGTGTCTGGTAGCATTTCATTTAATCTGCAGGTATATTCTCCCTACAATTTATTGCCACGTGATGTCCTCAGCCAAGATTGTGAGGCAGAGAGGAGCTGTCCTAACCTACTTTACCACTGAGGCTGGAGAGGTCATATTTTTGGTATTAAACTGGAGTCTCTCCATCCTTCACATTGTTGATGTCCTCTGTAGCAAACTGGAAAAGTCAGTGACAGAAGATGCCGCTAGCAGTTTGAGCCAGAGAGTGACAGCTCTGGTTTGGAGACAAGGGCTGGGTGGTGGCTTTAGAAAGCCCATCCTTCTGCTTTTTTTCTCCCCCTTGTATTCTGCTTTCATTCATTCATTCATTCATCAAACATTTGTTGAGCACCTATTATGTGTCAAGCTCTGTGCTAGGCTCTGGAAAACCTGGCCCTATGTAGCTCACCATGGAGCAGGAGAAACAATGACTAGTCTATCATAAGCACGGGTTGTCAGGGTCTCACAGAGCAGTGACCCCTCATCTGAACCCATGAGATCAAAGAAGGCATCCAGGAGAGGATGGTGTCAGAGCTAACTGAAGAATGAGAAGGAGCTGCACCAGCAGGGGTTGGAACTGATGGTGGCAGTGCCTGGAGTCTTGATTCCAGCAGAGGGAGAGCAGTCTGTGAAAAGGCACCAAGGGTGGGAGAGGGCAGAGCACATGGAGGAACTTCAGGTAGTTCTGGATGGCCCTGGGGCAAAGCTAGAGAGGTAAGAAGAATCAGCCGGGCGTGCGGTGGCTCAAGCCTGTAATCCTAGCACTTTGGGAGGCCGAGACGGGCGGATCACGAGGTCAGGAGATCGAGACCATCCTGGCTAACGCAGTGAAGCCCCGTCTCTACTAAAAAATTTAAAAAAAAATAGCCGGGCGAGGTGGCGGGCATCTGTAGTGCCACCTACTCGGGAGGCTGAGACAGGAGAATGGCCTCCCGGGTTTACCGGGAGGCAGAGCTTGCAATGAGCTGAGATCCGGCCACTGCACTCCAGCCTGGGCGACAGAGCAAGACTACGTCTCAAAAAAAAAAAAAAAAAAGAAGAATCTACAAATGTTCCTCGAGTTAAGGTGAACTTCCATCCCAATAAATCCATTTGGAAGCAAAAAATGTAAGTCGAAAGTGCATTTAAGGCTGGTCCGAGTAGAATGATGTTTACAAGGAATTGATCACAACCAGTTACAGATGTTTCTGTTCCTTCTCCACTCCCACTGCTTCACCTGACTAGCCTTTAAAAAGACAAAAAATTTAAAAACAAAAAGAAAAGAAAAGAAAAATGCATTTAATATCCTGATAAATCCATCTAAAAGTCAAACAATTGTAAGTGGAACTGTCACGAGTTAGGAACCATCTGTAGATCGTGAAGTTATGTGGATACTGTGCTGTAGAATATGGGTTTTATCCTGAGGACTATGGAGAATCCCTGGAGGGTTTTGAGCAGTGATGTCTGATCTTACTTTTTTTTTAAGGCGGAGTCTCGCTGTGTCGCCCAGGCTGAAGTGCAGTGCCACGATCTCTGCTCACTGCAAGCTCCGCCTCCCGGGTTCACGCATTCTCCTGCCTCAGCCTCTGGAGTAGCTGGGACTACAGGCGCCTGCCACCATGCCCAGCTTATTTTTTGTATTTTTAGTAGAGACGGGGTTTCACTGTGTTAGCCAGGATGGTCTTGATCTCCTGACCTTGTGATTCGCCCGCCTCGGCCTCCCAAAGTGCTAGAATTACAGGCGTGAGCTACCGCGCCTGGCCCGATCTTACTTTTCGAAAGCTCACTCTAGCAAACCTGTGAGGAGAGGATCAGAGGGTGTTAAGACCCAAGGCAGCCGGATGTGGTAGTGCATGCCTGTAGTCCCAGGTGCTCAGGAGGCTGAGGCAGGAGGATTGCTTGAGTCCAGGAGTTCTGGGCTGTAGTGTGCTGTGCTGATCAGGTGGCCCCACTAAGTTCAGCATCAATATGGGGACCACCCAGGAGTGGGGGACCACCAGGTGGCCTAAGGAAGGGTGAACTGGCCCAGGTCAGAAATGGAGCAGTTCAAAAATCCTGTGCTGATCAATAGTGGGATCATGCCTGTGAATAGCCACTGTACTCCAGTCTGGGCAACACAGTGAGACCCCATCTCTTAAAAAAAAAAATTAGGCCCAAGGCAGGCAGACAAGGCTGGGGTCTGCAGTAGAGGCCCAGACATACCTAGATCTCAGAGGGTCTCCTTTTCTCCCACTATTGCAGTTGTGAGTACAGAGGTGGTCAGAGCCCAAGAAGAATGGGAAGCTGTGGACACCATCCAACCAGAGACAGGTAACTGCAGGAATGCTGCTGTCTCCCCATAGCCCCTCTGCCAGCAAAGGCAACATTCACACATATGGCAAATGTTTCTGTGAGTCTGGGACTAGGAGACAGAATTTCTAAGAGTGCTCATTTTAACTATATAACATAGATTACAATATCTTTTTCAAATCAGAATATGATGACATCCTATCTATGGAGGAAACCAGAGTGAAGGCCATGGAGAAAGGGCTGCCATCCCTGTCCATCTTCCACCCAGCCGTGAGAGAAGACAGGGTTGACCTTGGTTAGGGCAGCTTCTACAGAGTGGCGAGGTTGGGCAGGAGGGTGGAGACAGGGCCCCTGTGTGAGGCTGCTCAGGTTGTTTACTGCACAAGGAAATCTCTGGGGATGGGAGCTGAAGCAATCTGCTGGAAGGCTCTGAAGGCTGAATAAAAATTGTCTCCTGTTTCTTTCTAAGAGGTTTGGATGAAGCAATAGAACTAGGACTTATATCTAGCCTGAGCCTCTATTGAGCTCCTGGGGCCAGTGAATAGTATCAGCCATCACCTATATTGCTGACTGATCAGTTAATTCCCTATTGGCTGTAACAGAGGTGTGTGGTTGGGGGTTCCTATACAGGGTGTAAGAAGGGAAGAGTGGAAATTAGGAAAGGCCCCTAAACAAACTGGTTGCATGCTCTTATGTGGGTACCCACCCCAGGCAGTGACTTGCCCCCTCACAGATGAGAGAATTTAGAGGTCGCCTTGTGGGGCAAATGTGCCCCATACTCACTGCAGAGGTTGGCCTAGCACGACTGAATAGCCTAGTCCAAAAAGAGAGTCATCTTCGCAGATAATGCCAGCCTCTTGAAAGAAGATTGGTTGTAGCTGTAGGTGTCTGATGTTCAACTGAAAGTCAGTGCTTGGCTTGGAGGTGACAAGTAGGAGGACCTCAGTAAATGTTTGCTGACAGAATGACTCCTATAAATCCTGGCATGTCTTCCCTTTTGCCACAGGGAGCCAGGCTAACTCAGAGCAGCCTGGGCAGCTAATCTCCTTCAGCGAGGCCCTGCAGCACTTCCAGACTGTGGACCTTTCCTCCTTCAAGGTATGATGGTAGCAGGGTTTGGAGTCTCAAGCAAAGTGCCTTTTCCCTAGGAGCCAAGCTTCTGTCCCACCAGGATAGGGCACTGGGCAAGCCAATCTCCCCTAAGATCTTGGTGCCCAGGATCATGGGTGGCCTAGGACCCATACTTCATTTGGGGCCTTGGTAGCTTTTGTGGGACTGTGCCCTTACAGCTTCTGTGGCCCTGTCGTTCAGGGGCCTGTATAACTGTTTCTCTACTCTTCCCTTTTAGGGATGGGGACATCTAGAATCAAGTACTAGGCAAGGCATACTGTTGAGGGAGCTGAGTAATTCATGGCCAGTGGAGGAAAACCTTCCATTCCCTCAAGGAACCAGAAGCTATTTAGGAATTTAAGAAAGATATGGCCGGGCGTGGTGGCTCAAGCCTGTAATCCCAGCACTTTGGGAGGCCGAGACGGGCGAATCACGAGGTCAGGAGATCGAGACCATCCTGGCTAACACGGTGAAACCCCGTCTCTACTAAAAAATACAAAAAACTAGCTGGGCGAGGTGGCGGGCGCCTGTAGTCCCAGCTACTCGGGAGGCTGAGGCAGGAGAATGGCACAAACCCGGGAGGCGGAGCTTGCAGTGAGCTGAGATCCGGCCACTGCACTCCAGCCTAGGGGACAGAGCGAGACTCCGTCTCAAAAAAAAAAAAAAAAAAGGAAAGATATAAGTTGGAAAAAGAAGAAATATTTGGGGGAATAAATGGTAGGGGTGGGTTAGGTGCTGGGCATAGTGGCTCACACCCGTAATACCAGCACTTTTGGAGGAGTTTGAGGTGAGGGGGTCACTTGAGCCCAGGAGTTCAAACCTACAGTAAGCTATGATCACACCTGGGCAACAGAGTAGGACCCTGTCTCTGTAAAAAATAAAAAAAAACTGGGGAGCTTTCTGGGACATATTGAGTAACAATACATTTAGATAAATGTGATTTCAGGTCTTCTACCTAAATCCTGGCTCAGGGGAGAGAGGCTAAAAAGATAGGAACCAAGTTGTTTTATAGGACCCAGAGAGCCAAAAGCTACCGAAATCAGAATGTTCTAAGGCTTGCAGTAGTGACCCTGGGCCATGAGAAGCCAACATGACCTCACTTGGGAAGTGCTGGTTGTGACCAAAAGATCCCAGCTACCCCTCAGAGTCATCTAACTCCAGTGAGTCCCCACCTCCTGGGAAACCTGTCCTGGCATTTGTCTGACTGCCTGGGGGAGCTGGGCATGTGTAACCCCTGTGGGAGTTAGTGGAATAGCTCGTTCTGGAAAAGCCCAGAGGACTAAATGCAAATAATGGCTGATAATACCTACCCTTGGGGATGTCTCTTTCACCTTGCAAAAAATCTGGGAGCTGGAAGAGCCCGGCTCTAGAGACAACAGGTGCCTTGCAACTTCTGCCTCCTTCCCCTGGCCCAAAGACCAGCCAGCTAGCTGGGGGAATTACTTTCTGCAAGCGCTGCCTCTGGTCTGAGCCTGATGGGAAGTTGGTTAAGGGAGATGAAGCAGCACTCTGCCCATTGCCTGCAACTTCTTCCCCAGAAAAGAATCCAGCCAACTATTCGAAGGACTGGGCTTGCTGCCCTTCGACACTACCTCTTCGGGCCTCCAAAGCTCCACCAGGGCCTTTGGGAAGAAAGGGACTTGGTCCTGACCATTGCTCAATGTGAGTGCAATGTGAGCCCACAGGGCAGTTGCTGCATCTGCGGTGAGGCAAGACCCTGTGTGCTGACCCTGTTGCTGAGGCTAAGCCAGGAATATTGCATGTACCGTGGTTGGCGGGTGAGAGTGGGAGCTGAGAATTGGAAATCTTGAGCACAGTCCAGATCTCTCATTCTCTGAGAAGCACCCAGTTCTCCCATGAGGGGCAATCTGGCAGACAGTGTGGGTGTGTTTTGGGGCAGGTGGCCTGGATAGCCAAGACCCAGTGCATGGCCGAGTCCTCCAGACCATCTATAAGAAGCTGACCGGCTCCAAGTTTGACTGTGCCCTTCATGGAGACCACTGGGAGGACCTGGGCTTTCAGGGTAAGAGGGAGGAGCAGCTCATCTTCTTTTTCATGCCTCTGATTCCAGGACTAGAGTGAGAGGCCAGGTCGTTCTCATCCAGCACTATGAGGGGGAAGATCTCAGGGGAGTATTCTGGGAGGAGGGTGTAGCAAATGCAAAAGCCGTGAGGGGGCGCCTGCTTTCTCTGCTTGAAAAATAGCCAGAGTAGGTCTGGCGTGGTGGCTCATTCCTGTAATCCCAGCACTTTGGGAGGCTGAGGAGGGTGGATCACTTGAGGTCTGGAGTTCGAGACCAGCCTGGCCAACATGGTGAAACCCCATCTCTACTAAAAATACAAAAATTAGGGCCGGGTGCGGTGACTCATGCCTGTAATCCCAGCACTTTGGGAGGCTGAGGTAAGTGGATCATGAGGTCAAGAGTTTGAGACCAGCCTGGCCAACATAGTGTAACCCATCTCTACTAAAAATAGAAAATTTAGCCAGGCATGGTGGTGTGCACCTGTAATCCCAGCTACTCAGGAGGCTGAGGCAGGAGAATTGCTTGAACCTGGGAGGCGGAGGTTGTAGTGAGCTGAGATTGCACCATGGTACTCCAGCCTGGGCGACAGAGCAAGACTCTGTATCGGAAAAAAATAAAAAATAAAAATTAGCCAGGCATGGTGGCTCGTGCCTGTAATCTCAGCTACTCAGGAGGCTGAGGCAGGAAAATCACAGGGAGGCAGAGGTTGCAGTGAATGGAGATCGCACCACTGCACTCCAGCCTAGGTGACAAAGGGAGACTCTGTCTCAGAAAAGAAAAATAGCGAGAGTGTGGCTGAGGTGGAGAAAAGATCACTTGGTGGTCTTTTAGGCTGTTGTATACATTTACTCTAAGTGATATGTAAAACACTGGAGTGATGTGACTTAGAATCTGGCATTTTTGGGTTTTTTCCTCTCTAAAAAATATTTATGAAAATTTTATCATATATTATTTTACTTTCTGAGTGAATCAGAATCATTTTACCAGTTTTTAGGTTGTACTATTTTTTTTTCAAAACCATATCAAATTGGCCGGGCATGGTTGCTCATGCCTGTAATCCCAGCACTTTGGGAGGCCAAGGCAGGTGGATCACCTGAGGTCAGGAGTTTAAGACCAGCCTGGCCAACATGACAAAACACCATTTCTACTAAAAATACAAAAATTAGCCGGGTGTGGTGGCACGTGCCTGTAGTCCCAGCTACTCAGGAGGCTGAGGCAGGAGAATCGCTTGAACCCAGGAAAAAGAGGTTGCAGTGAGCTGGGATTGCACCACTGTACTCAGCCTGGGTGACAGAGTGAGACTCCATCTCAAAAAAATAAAAATAAAAATAAACAAAACCATATCAAATTATATTTGTATAGAATAGGGAAATATCTTAATTTTGAAAGGAAACTTTAAGGCAGGGCACAGTGGCTCACTCCTGTAATCCCAGCACATTGGGAGGCTGAGGCAGGCAGATGACTTGAGGTCGAGTTCAAGACCAGCCTGGCCAACATGGTGAAACCCCATCTCTACTGAAAATACATAAATTAGCCGGGTGTAGTGGCATGCACGTGTAATCCCAGCTACTCAGGAGGCTGAGGCAGGAGAATCGCTTGAACCTGGGAGGTAGAGGTTGAACCCAAGATCACACCACTGCACTCCAGCCTGGGTGACAGAACAAGACTCTGTCTCAAAAAAATTTTTAAAAAATTTTAAAAAAAGATAAAAGGAACCGTTATGTACTCCTAATTAACTGGTGGTCTGTTGGTGTGGCAACATGGTTACGTCCCTGTTCCCTCTCTCATCTATCATGTAATCGTCTTAAATGTATCCTCTCTATATATAGAGAATCGCACCAGCAATGTTAAGATTTTTGTTTCAATCAACAAACATAATTTTTTTGAGGAGGGGTTCTCGTGAAGAACCAGAAAACCTGCTAGACAAATTATAAAAGAGCTGTGACACTGCAATAAACGTAATTTCTAAATCTCTGGAGAAAAAGGAAAATCTAGGCCAGGCACGGTGGCTCACGCCTGTAATTCCAGCACTTTGGGAGGCTGAGGTGGGAGGATCACGAGATCAGGAGTTCAAGACCACCCTGGCCAAAATAGTGAAACCCCGTCTCTACTAAAAATACAAAAATTAGCTGGGCATGGTGGCACGTGCCTGTAATCCCAGCTACTTGGGAGGCTGAGGCAGGAGAATCGCTTGAACCCAGGAGGTGGAGGTTGCAGTGAGCCGAGATCTCGCCACTACACTCCAGCTTGGGCAACAGAGTGAGACTTGGTCTCAAAAAAAAAAGAAAAAGAAAAAGAAAAATGTTGTGTTTACTCTTTCCATTGTTTGTTCTTCCTTCCTAATATTCCAAAGTTCCCTCTTTTATTTTTTTTCTATTTCAAGGACTTCCTTTCTCTTAGGATAGGTCTGCTGGCTATAAATTGTCTTTGTTTTCCTTCATCTGAGAATGTCTCCATTTCCTCTTCACTTCTGAATTCTGTGGATATAAAATTCCAGTTGACACTTCTTTTTATTCAGCACTTGAAAATGTGCTGCTTCCTTCTGGCCTGCGTAGTTTCTGATGAGAAATCCACTGTCATTTGAATGATCTCTCCCTCGTAAGTAAGGAGTTCATAGTCTCTTTCTGCTTTCAAAATCTTTTCTGTGCCAGGCATGGTGGCTCACACTTGTAATCCCAGCAGTTTGGGAGGCCGAGACAGGAGGATTGCTTGAGACAAGAAGTTCAAGACCAGCCTGGGCAACATTGCAAGACCCTATCTCTACAAAAAAATATTTTTTTTTCCTTGAGATGGAGTCTCACTCTGTTGCCCAGGCTGGAGTGCAGTGGCACGATCTCAGCTCACTGCAACCTCCACCTCCCGGGTTCAAGCAATTCTCCTGCCTTAGCCTTCTAAGTAGCTGGGACTACAGGCCTGTGCCACCACACCCAGCTTTTTTTTGTATTTTTTAGCAGAGATGGGGTTTCACCATGTTGGCCAGGCTGGTCTTGAACTCCTGACCTCAAGTGATCCACCTGCATGAGCCTCCCAAAGTGCTGGGATTACAGGCGTGAGCCACCATGCCTGGCCAAAAAAAAAAAATTTTTTTTAGTAGCCAGGTGTGGTGATGCATGCCTGTAGTCCCAGCTACTGGGCAGGCTGAGGCAGAAAGATCGCTTGAGCCCAAGAAGTGGAAGCTGCAGTGAGCTGGGATCACACTACATCCCAGCCTGGGTGACAAAGTGAGACTGTCTCAAAAGAAAGATCTTTGCTGGCCGGGCGCAGTGGCTCAGGCCTGTAATCCCAGCATTTTGGGAGACCGAGGCAGGCGGATTATGAGGTCAGGAGTTCGAGACCAGCCTGGCCAATATGGTGAAACCCCGTCTCTACTAAAAAAATACAAAAATTAGCTGGGCGTGGTGGCACGTGCCTATAGTCCCAGCTACTTGGTAGGTGGAGGCGGAGGTTGCAGCGAGCTGAGATCGCATCACTGCACTCCAGCCTGGGCAACAGAGCAAGACTCCGTCCCAAAAAAAAAAAAATCTTTGCTTTGTCTTTGGTTTTCAGGAATTTGGCTGTGATGTGTCATTGTGTGGATTTCTTTGGGCCTCTCTTGTTTGAGGTTAGCTCAGCATCTTGAGTCTGTAGGTTTGTGTCTTTTGCCAAATTTAGTCAATTTTCAGCCATGATTCCTTTGAATACTTTCTTCAACTCCACACTTTGTCCTCTCTTGTGGGATTCCAATGATACAAATGCTATGTTTGTTCATTTTTAAAAATCTTTGTTATAGCCTCAGATCTCTAAGGCTCTGTTCATTTTGGTTTTTGCTTTTCTGTCCCTCTGTTGTTCATATTATGTAATTCTATTGTTACTGTCCCATATTCAAGTTCACTGATTCTTTCCTCTGCTGTCTCTGTTCTCCTGTTGACCCCATCCAGAGAGTTTTTAGTTCTAGTTATTCTATTTTTCAGTTCTAAAGTTTCTATTTGGTTATTCTTTATATCTGCTGTTTCTTTACTGAAACTTTCTATTCTTTCATTATTTCGAAGTGTATTTGTTCATAATTGCTTACCAAAGGCATTCTATGGTAGATACTATAGTCATTTTCTATCATTGCTGTAACAAATTACCGCAAACCTAGTGGCTTAAAACAACACAAATTATTATCTTACAGTTTTCCAGTTCAGAAGTCTGACTCAGGTCTCACTGAGAACCTGTGTTCAAGATCAAGGTGTTGGCAGCACAGTGTTCTTTTTGGAGGCTCTGGAGGAGAATCCATTTCTTTGCCTTTTGCAGCTTCTGGAGGCCACCTCCATTCCTGCATCTTCAAAGCCAGAAACAGCATCTCTCTGAGCCCGATTCTTCACAACTCTTTCTCTGGCTCTGGGCTTCTGCCTTTCTTTTACACTTTTAAGGACCCTTTCAATGACATGGGACCCACCCAGACAGTCCAGGATCATCTCCCTTTCTGCTGATCAGCAACCTTAGTGCTACCTGCAATCTTAATCCCCTTTGCTATGTTACATAACATAGTCATAGCTTCTGGGGACATGGCCATCGTGGGGTGGGGGGATTATTTTGCCTACCACGGCTGCTTTAAATTCCTTGTCAAATAATTCCAACAACTGTGTTATCTCAGTGTTGGTGTCTGTTGATCATCTTTTCTCATTCAAATTGAGAATTACCTAGTTCTTGGTGTAACAAGTGATTTTTTATTGTATCTTAGACATTTTGGATAGTTTGTATGAGACTCTGGATCTTACTTAAATCTACTTTAGCAAGCCTCCTCTGTTACTGTGACAGCAGGGGAAGGAGGGATGTCACCTTGTTACTGCCAGGTGGGGGTGGAAGTCCAGGTATCCCATTTGGCTTATACTAATACCAAGTTCGAGACCAGCCTGGCCAACATGGCTGGTGGGGCAGGGGTACCTCGTTACTCTTCCTATGTGACTTCCACATCACACAGGAGGCAAGGGGGCTCCTTACCCCTGGGAAAGATAAAGTCCCAGATCCCCACTGGTCCTTCTCTGACGCTACCCTTGTGGAGCTAAGGGTGCCTTGACAGTCAGGCCAGGATGGAAGTCTAGGGTCCCTACTCCGCCTTTTCTGGAGAAGAGTGGGGATAGGGCCACAGTTTTCTCTGTGGTGTTTTGCTGCAATAGGGTGGGTGTTGGCTAAAGCTTTCTGTCTTGCTACACTGCCTCTTTCTCCACGCTTTGGCTAGAGAGAGCAGCTTTCCTTGGGGCTTTTTAGTCTGCTCCCATTGGCATTTCTCGGTTGCTGTCTTCTCCAGCACCACTTGGGATATATTAGGCAAAAAGAAACCCAGGAATTCACCAGAGAGTCATTTCTCAGCTCTCAGGATTCTTAATAAGTCTGTCTTCCCTCCTTTCAGAGTCTTCTGTTTATTTTATATAGTAATGTCCAGGGCTTTTAGCTGTACTTAGTGGGAGGAATAGGCAGAAAGTGCATTATTCATCTTGTTCCAGAACTGTAAATTCAGCCTTTTTTGTAAAGGATCACTGGTTGTTTTGTGGAGAAGTAACTGTCAAGGGTCATAGACAGCAGCAAGAAAACTAATGTGGGAGGCTGCCCCAGGGCGCTGGGATCCCCATTTGGTGCGTAGCCCCTGCTTAGCTCATTAGAATGAGCCCCACAAGTGTGGCAGAAAGTGGACCTGTGCTGTCATGCTCTCCTAGCCTGGGAAGAGGCCAGTGTCAGGGCAGCTTCCCACGGCAAGCTGTTAACACATTGCTCGCTGCCACACCCTGTTTCCTCATGGCCTCTGTTACAGGAGCGAATCCAGCCACGGACCTGAGAGGCGCAGGCTTCCTTGCCCTCCTGCATCTGCTGTACCTGGTGATGGACTCAAAGACCTTGCTGATGGCACAGGAGATTTTCCGCCTGTCTCGTCACCACATCCAGGTGAGACTTTGGTGGGAAGCCAGAGGAAAGGAAGGGGCTGTGGAGCTAGGACCTGAGAGGCCCAGAGGGCTCCCAGGACAGCTGAGACAAACCAGGAATGGGCTTCCCCATCAGTCTGACCTGCACTGAAATATGAGCTCTACTGTTTATTAGCTGTGTAGCTCAAGCAAGTTCCTGAACTCCTCAGAGCCTTGATTCCCTCATCTGCAGAATGGAAATCATAGTGTTGTTAGAAATGCTTGTTCTTTGCTGCCGTAAAGAAACAGCACTTGAACGTTAATTTCTTCAGCAAGGCTATTTTTTAACTTTCTACAGAAAGGGTACACTAGCTAGCAGTTTTGCCACAAGAGTACACTGAATAAAGGAGACAGGGTCATTTATAACTTGACCCGTCTACTTTACTGCTGTGTCCGGTTTCTATTGGCTGGAATGGGACTTCACATTCTGTATTTGTCCTGATTGGCTAGCAACTTAGAACTTTTTAAAAGAGGCAAAGGCAGAGGAGAACAAAGGAAGGGGGAAGTAACTTGTGGAATGCTGAGAAAGGTAAAAAACACCTTCAAATAAGGATGAGGAACAGGCTGTGACTTAATGCTTGCTTGGACTAGTATAAGCATGCCAGGGCAATATTTAGGCTAAATTGTGGGAGCTAAAAACAAAGTACATTGATTTCTTTATTATGGCTAGTAGATATTTAAGAATGTTAGCAGAGGTCTTTGAATAAATTTTGCTTCTAAGAGAAGTTACTGTTTAACTTAAGTAGATGGGGAGGAAAGTCTTTGAAGAGGAACCTCTACTCTCCTTTTTACAGTGTGAGCCCCGAAAATCTGAGGTCTCAGTTAATTTAGAAAGTTTATTTTGCCAAGGTTGAGAACACATGCCTGCCCATGACACAGCCTCAGGAGGTCCTGATGATATGTGCCCAAGATAATAAGAGCACAGCTTGGTTTTATACATTTTAGGGAGACATGAGACATCAATTAACATATGTAAGAATGAACATTCATTCGGTCCAGGTGGGATGACTAGCAGCAAAAGCAGGAGGACTCCGAAGCAGGGAGGGGGCTTCCAGGTCATAGGTAGATAAGAGATAAATGATTACATTTGAATTTCTGATTAGCCTCTCCAAAGGAGGCAATCAGATATGCATTTGTCTCAGTGAGCAGAGGGGCAACTTTGAATAGAATGGGAGGCAGGTTTGCCCTAAGCATTTCCTGGCTTGACATTTCGCTTTAGCTTAGTGATTTTGGGGGCCCAAGATATTTTCCTTTCACATTTTCCCCCTTTTCTTTTTTGAAATCTTTTGGAGAAAGCATTTTAGAAGAAAATGAATCTCTGGTCTTAGGTTTCATCTGATCTCTTATAGCTAGGATGGTTTATTCCTAGACGGATAGGTTCTGAGTTATTAGGAAAGTTCATTTTTGGAAAGTTGTGAAGTCTCATGTCCTATGAAGAGAAAATACGGGGAGGAAGGGAGAAAACAACAAACAAAAGAACAATCCTAGAAAATCAATATAAGACACATTACTCTGAAGTCTATATATCAGTAAGCAGGTATGAAAGTGGCTTATGTATGTAAATAGGTTGCTGTTATTTTCTTCTGAAGTTGTCTGGCTTCAGTTTGCAGGGCTGCAAGAAAGCACGGCTTAGTTTTCAGTAACTCCAAATTAGGAAAATGGAAAAAAAAGGAGGCAAAGAAATTGAAAACATTATTTTGTTTTGTTTTGTTTTTTTGGAGACAGAGTCTCGCTCTGTCCTGTTGCCCAGGCTGGAGTGCAGTGGCATGATCATGCGCACTGCAACCTTTGCCTTCCGGGTTCAAGCGATTCTCCTGCCTCAGCCTCCTGAGTAGCTAGGATTACAGGCACACGCCACCATACCCAGCTAATTTTTGTATTTTTAGTAGAGACGGGGTTTCACCATGTTGGTCAGGCTGGTTTCAAACTCCTGACCTGGTGATCCTCCCACCTCAGCCTCCCAGAGTGCTGGGATTACAGATGTGAGCCACCGTGCCTGTCCAAAAGCATTATTTTGAAGACTTGTAGCCAAGGAAAATTAGAATTCAGCCCAAACTGTAGAAAATTATTAAAATTGAAAAACATTAGGCAATACTAGGATCTCATGACAGGTGTACTATAGTTTTTAAAACATAATTTTTCTTTCTCCAGTTTCCTGTTTTTACTAAAGACAAATCATGGTAGGAACGATTTGCTTTATAATACTTGGCCAGATTATTTGTATAAAATACAGCAAGAATAATTATTTTTCACATAGGCTTTTTTAAAACATTGACTTTGATGGGACTTTGTTATTTAGAAGGAATCTCAGGCAAGACGTTTTTAAAGCCAAGACTTGCCATGGATTTGTACCATCAAATATCTATGAGTTGGGTGAATTTCCTCTCCTCTTGAGGTTCCAAGATAAACCTGGGGCTCCTGGGCCTGTTGTAAAGTAACATTCTTTACTTAACACAAGTCAGAAACCCTGTTCAGGGACTGTGTACACAAAATATGAGGCCAGTTTCCCAAGGGCTTTATTGGCTCCATAAATCAAGTTTGATTCCTTGAAAGAAAGAACACGGTTCCAGTCAAAGCCTTGGTAAAATAATCAGTTTCTCCAGTTGTGTCCTGTTACCAGTGAAAACAGATTCTTATTGTACTTATGCAAATAACTATATTGCCATAAATTAAGAGTACTCACAAATAGTTTCCAAATCCTGGAGAAATCAGATAGAGAGAAACAAATATGTTCCAAATTTTGGTCATAGGAATATACTAAATTGTTAAAAGCTGTCAATAGCTCAAAAGAAAAGTTTGAAGACTCTGAAAAGCAAAACAAAGGATCAGCAATGTTTTAAACAAAAAGCCAAAAAAATTATTTCAGTCCATGCAGTTAATTCCTGTTCTGCTTTGATATTCATGAGCATTTGAGCTCTCCATGAGTCTGAAAGTTTATCCTCTATTCTGATGTCACAATCTTCAAAGTTATCAGAAACCTGCATTTAAGAGCCCCTGTTAGAGTTTTATAGATGATTATTATTATTCATTTATTTTTAGACTAGTCTTGCTCTGTCGCGCAAGATGAAGTGCAGTGGTGCGATCTTGGCTCATGGCAACCTCCACCTACCAGGTTCAAGCGATTCTACTGCTCAGCCTCCCAAGTAGCAGGGATTACAGGCACCTGCCACCACACCCAGTTAATTTTTGTATTATTAGTAGAGACAGGGTTTTGCCATGTTGGCTAGGCTGGTCTTGAACTCCTGACCTCAAGTGATATGCTCGCCTCAGCCTCCCAAAGTGCTGAGATTACAGGCATGAACCACCATGCCCGGCCTATTACAGCTGATTATAAAACCACCTTCTAAAGAGGACCAAGCAACACAACAATTGTCTGTGGATGACAAAGTTTTAGGGAAGCCATCCAAAGACACAGTTCATAAGGAAATTTGTTACCTCTGTGGCACACAACAATTTAGCATAACAGTTATAATTATTACTGATAATATACACTAAGTTATATCAGAATTATAGGAGTTTCCCATAATTTTAGAACACACACCAATAACATATTTATACAAATACAGCCCAAAGAAAATAATACACCATTTCATATTTAACAATATATAATTTTTATACCAAATACAATTTTTATACCAAATAAGCCAAATTATGTCATTTTTGGACATTATGGAGACTTACATCTTAAAGGATTAATCAGGTCAGAAAAAGACATAATTTATGATTTGATTTTGGAAAGTTTGTCAAATATCAAAGGTTTAAAACTTGATATCACAAAATAGGATCGCAGGTCATTGTAAAATAAGTCATTCTTTTAACCAAAGCGATAACTCAAGGATTTCAAAAAGAAGGTGAAAATATCCATTCCTTGAGAGTAGAGACCTGATTTTTCAATCAGTAAGCCCTAATAAAAACAGCATGAAGCCAATTAAATTTGTTTTTCAAAATTTTATCAACAATCTATAAAATTTTAATCTTGACCATAAGATATAACTTCCATAAGCCTTTTATAACCTTTATAACCTTTCTTAAGGAGTTGCTTAATGCTTCAAGAAAATCTTGTTAATTTGACACAGGGGGTCATGTGCTGCTTTTGCATCAGTGTACCTTTGACATTCATGATTAATTTATAAAGAAACTTTACCTATTTTATCTTTCAAAAATCAGCTCTTACAATCTCATGCACCCACCTCTTCCGCAAGAGTCCCTGGGCTTTGAGGAGTTGAGTAGCTTTAATTTCTGGCCCTGTGTCTTAGGGATGCAGTTTATCCTGATTGGCATCTTCTACCAGGCCTGAAGATGAGGCTTTAATTGCTGTCAATGTTTAAGATTTGGCAGCGGTGGCTCAAGCCTGTAATCCCAGCACTTTGGGAGGCCGAGACGGGCGGATCACGAGGTCAGGAGATCGAGACCATCCTGGCTGACACGGTGAAACCCCGTCTCTACTAAAAAAAAACAAAAAACTAGCCAGGCGAGGTGGCGGGCGCCTGTAATCCCAGCTACTCGGGAGGCTGAGGCAGGAGAATGGCGTGAACCCGGGAGGCGGAGCTTGCAGTGAGCTGAAATCCGGCCACTGCACTCCAGCCTGGGTGGCAGAGCGAGACTCCGTCTCAAAAAAAAAAAAAAAAAAAAAAAAAAAGATTTGGCAGGACATAGGGGTGGGTGCAGTGGCTCACGCATGTAATCCCAGCACTTTGGGAGGCGAAGGCGGGCAGATCACGAGGTCAGGAGATCGAGACCCTACTGCCTAACATGGTGAACCCCGTCTCTACTAAAGATACAAAAAATTAACTGGGTGTGGTGGCGGGTGCCTGTAGTCCCAGCTACTTGGCTGAGGCAGGAGAATGGCATGAACCCAGGAGGTGGAGCTTGTAGTGGGCCAAGATCACACCACTGCACTCCAGCCTGGGCGACAGAGCAAGACTCCATCTCAAAAAAAAAAAAAAAAAAAGATTCAGCAGGACATGGTGTTCTTTTTTAGAC